GAGACAGAGAAAAAGAGAGAGAGACAGATCAACGAAGGGTACAAAGCCACGAAGCTGGGTCAGTTCCGTTTAGTACGAGGTAGGCTACGATTCCGTTTGGATCGGAGAAGGTGCACGGGAATCGAGAGATCTATGCATCGCGCAATCGTTCAACGAACCAGCGCCATTTCATTCTCTCTCTATGTCTCTCTCTCTCTCTCTCTCTCTCTCTACATCCTAGACATTTCTTCTTCTTCTTCTTCGTCCTCGAAACTTCTTGCTTGCCTCTTTTATTCGCCATTTATTTATCAAGACTCACCAGGCTGCGTTCCATCTGATTTAATTGCAAACTTCGTACGTCACATTACGAAAGTTTCCAATTGTCTATACTACACTTTACGCGTGATAAACAGTATAATGTTCCACGTTGATATCGTTGTTAAACGTATCCATTTTGTAATACCGTGGATTACCTCGTATCCAATTTCCATTTTCCTCGTCATTGTTTTTCCACGTTTACTCGCACTCGAAATTCGTTTCTACAAAGTGGGACGCGTATCCGAAACGGCCGCCGGGATCTCGATACACGATTCGAGACACGATTCTCGCAAAATAAACGAGTACGAAAGAAAGGGAAGAAAGAAAGAGAACTGGAGAACTACGATCTACGTGGATGTTCGCCAAGAGCGGCGAGGATGCGGGTCGGAGGATGAGCGACTCGGTCGGAAAACTGAATCGATGCTGGTAGAACACACGGTAGGGGCGATCGAGAATTTGCTCGATCCGAGGTTCATCGTTCGTGGATCGCACACGTGCGTCGGCGGCTCGACTAGCCCAGCAGAGTCAACTTCCTTTCTCTTCGTTCGCGATTTTTTTCAGGGCGAATCGTTTATCTTGGTCGTTGGGTTGGACGCATACAGGGCGTCGTGTAGCGTTTCGTGTTCGCGTGGTGGACGCAGGCAGGGGGAGGGGCAGGCGGCGGCGAGAGCAAGCGAGCACAGAGGCAAGAGGAAGAAGAGGAACAGAAGGAGGGAAGGAAGGAAGGAAGCATGGAAGGAAGGAAGGAAGGAAGGAAGG